TCTAGATTTTGTGGTCCCCGAGTTGAAAGTGCGGGACAAAATGTGGGACACACACATACAAACACAGACAACTCCGTGACAATCTGTGTTTTGTACTGTTGCTACACAGCACAAAACGCATAAAAAGTTCGATTAGTACTGCTTAGGAGCATACAAGACGCGCCTTTTCGTGCAGTGCCGCCAACATGTCATTCATTTCCTTGAAGCTCAGGGTTGTTTCAAGTGCCTTCAGATCTGAAAAATGTGAAAATATAGTATCTTTATGGCCCAATTTTGTGACCTTTGTCTTTTACCCCCCATCTTTGTTTTGGTTCAAAAGATTCCCGATATTTCTCACAACGACTGTTGGAGCTTACTGGAACCAACCCAGCTTCATTAACCGGTGCTACCAATCACAATCTGTACGCATTTCTGCAAGTCTAGCTAAACAATATTTAAACTGAGAAACAAACAGAAACAGACAAGTAGAATCCGGAGAAAACGAAGCGATGTTGGCATGAAGGACAAGTGACCGCCCTACAGTTCCCTCCTCGCTGCATGTCATGGAAGTGGCAGAGAGGTAGTGCATAACCCAGGCTGGAACGCACCAGGCGAGTCGGAGTGATCATGCGTTTTTGCACAAAACTTGGATTAGGTTAACTGCATGAAGGGTGTTTTTTCGCACCTACCTTGTGTGCTCAATACCGTAAATCATCGTAAATTTTGCATAAAAGGAAATAAATAGTTTCCGTTTAGCGATCGTTTTTGAAAATGGCCCAGTTGTCCAATGAGTAATTCCCCTGCCAAAAATTTAAGTGCCCGTACACGAGAACCACGTGTGCGTGGAGGTTGAATTTGAAACCTTAAATTGTATTTGAACGGGGAATATTCTCCTGAAATTTCAGCTTTCCAGCGTTTCTGGTTCTCGAATAAGCAGTTTCCCAGCCAAAACTTTCACAGGACCGCACGTGATCTGGGAGCATATTTGGGTGCTGGGCTTGAAATTTTTACGTTGTACATGTGCTGGGAACATTCCCTAAAAATTCCAGCCTCCCAGCTTTCCTGGTTCCAAGTTGGCCATTTTTCCGCCAAAAATTTTTACGGGGCCGTACCCACTGGTAAAATTTCGGTGCTAGAGCTTGCTTGGGTGCCGAGTTGAAAGACCCGGACACACATGCACACACAAATACACGCATACAAACACACAAACATACATACATACACACACACCGAGGTCGTCACAATATGCGTCTTTGCATTTGCATATAAGCAAAAACGCATAAAAAGGGCCACCATTCCCCTCTTACGAATTACCGAAAAGAAACTATAATCCACGGCATTATTAGGGGAGGTGATGGGACCAAACGATTTCAGAAAAACTTCAGGAATCAGAACGGAACGAATGGTGTCGTGAAATTCGTTGTCTGACTTCCAGGGATACTGTCCGTGAAGCGGCGTACTCAAATTTGGTCTCAAACACTACCGTTTTTGGCAGCTTTTATCTCGTTGCTGAACTCATCGAAGAGCTTCTTCTTTTCCGCGATCATTTTGTCCATTGCCTGCAGCTCGCTCTCGCAACATTTTTCAATTTTGCGCTGAAACGGCTACACTGTTGAAATCACAATGAGATAACCAGCCTTTTTTTGGAGGAAGAGGGGATAATTTCATGCTGGTGCGCGTCCGCTTCACTAAAGCGCTATATATTTGTCGTTAGGCGCCCAGTCCCATTTTTCAGAAAGTTTTACAGATTATCTCCTTCAAAATCACTGTAATCTGGGTAGTGGTTGCAGTGGCGCACCTGTTGCTTCTCCTCCATTTCTTCGTTCTTCTCCTGCTTTCTTAAAACCTGTATTTGTGCTTTATTTGCTAACGCTAGAGATTCTGAGTAAACTACTCATTTTTAATCAATTATACAATAACAGACTGGTTCCGGCGTATTTTTGATTCGATTTTGGATTCCTCTAGTAAAAACATATGCCTTCTGAAGACAACTTCGTCCCTTTTCCAAACCGATTGGAAACGCCGTCTCTGACCATGTAAAAAGAAGGTAACCATCTTTTTTCTTCTACCCCGTACCTCAGCTCTCCGCCTTCTTCCCCCTCCTCTCCTCCTGACTACACCGCTGAATTAGAGCAACTGTTTTGTAATCTGGAACTTCTCGGAGCCTTATCTGGCCAATGCCGATGTAATACACGGAAAAGCCGACCAGAAACTACCGAGAACGTCTGACTTGTTTTCCTACTTTTTGTACAGATTCATAAAACGGTAGCTCTCTAAGTTACAACTATTTTCGTAAGCGCAGATGGCCGGAGATATTGCGCTTCCCGGATAACCGCCATCAGGACTTGGTGCCTGAGCGTGCGACTGAAGGTGTTTGAAACAAATGCCACCGAACTGAATGCTTCTGTATGAGCAACGAGCTAGTGTTCACTGTTTGTTGTTGATGTTTATGTCCGCTGTTGGATCTGTTGGGCTGTGTCTTGGATTCGGTGATCGTGAACGGCACAGCGTTTACCTGGTCGGCAAAGTATATTTTCTGCTTCGAGATGAGCTTCTCGCATAAAACTCCCTGCTCAACGCCGTTGTCCAAGCACTTGATCACTTGCTGAACAAAACTTTGTGCATTTTTTTGCTGTTACCAGCAATTTGCAAAGCAAAAGCATCCAAAAAACCATGTACTGTGGGAGGTGCGGTAAGGGAGGATGATTTTAAACAGACAACAGCAGACAGTAAGCCTTCGAAAGAATTTTTCTGGTTTATGAGAAAGCTGCATGAAGTGAGACACAGTGAAAGAACCACCCACTGGTCTCTCTGTTTTCTTCAAATGGTCAGGAAGAGAACGGGAATGGATACCTTCGCTATATAATTCTGGATTTTTAAAAAACCCAGGCTGGAACGCACCAGGCGAGCCGGTGCGATCATGCGTTTTTGCAGCAAACTTGAATTAGGTTAACTGCATGAACGGTTGCTTCTTCAGACCTACCCTGTACGTTCAATACCGTAAATCATCGTAAATTTTGCATAAACAGAAATAAACAATTTTCGCAAGCGGTCGTTTTTTGAAAACTACCCAGCTGTTCAATCAAAAATTTGCCCGCCAAAATTTAAGTGCCTGTACAAGAGGACTACGCGTACCTGCAGGCTGAATTTGAAACCTCTAATTTTTATTTGGACGGGGAATATTTCCCTAAAATCTCAGCTATCCAGCTTTTCTGATTTTCGAGTCAGCCATTTTCCCGCCAAAAAACTTCACGGGGCTGTACGTGAGAACCGCGCATGCCTGAAGGCTGGATTTGATAACTTTAAATCCTACATGGGTTGTGAACATCCCCTTAAAATTTTAGCCACCCAACTTTCCTGGTTCCCGAGTTAACCATTTTCTCGCCAAAAAAATTCACGGGGCCGTACGTGAGAACCGCGAATGCCTGGGGGCTGATTTTGGTAAATTTAGTTGCACATGGGCGCTTAAAATTTCGGCCTCCTGCTTTTCTATTTTCTAAGTTAGCGATTTTCGCGCCAGGAACCCTCACGGGGCCGTACGCGGGAACCACGCACACCTGGGGCTGAATTTGAAATCTTTGAGTAGTATATGGACGGGGAATATCCACATACAACTCAAAGATTTTAACCTCAAAACTGGAGCCTTCTATCTTTTCTCGTCCTCCAGTTAACAATTTTCCCGCCAAAACTTTTACTCTCTCGTACGCAAGGCCCAGACTTGCATGAGGGTTGGTATCGCGATCCTAGGGTAGCACTTGGCCGGGGAACCCACTAACAAAATTCTGGCGCCAGAACTTGTTTGGCTGCCGAGCTGAAATACCCGGAGAGACGAACACAAATACACACAAACATACACACAGAGAGACAGAGTCGTCGCAATATGCGTTTTTATAATTTGCATTTAGGAAAACGCATAAAAAACAGGATAAAGCGTTAGAATGAGACTCAGCAGAGTGATTTCCCCGAAGCGGTTATTGGCGTCTCAGTATTTCTCAGTGAGCAAAGATCGATGAAGTGATAATGATACGTACGGCTTTCGGATATTTCTGATGCAGGTTATTCCACACATCCACAGCACTGTATGGGCGATTTTGCTCCTTCATATAATCGCAAACAGCTCTGATCGCTAAAAGCACTAATTTAGTGCTACCGCAGCAGGGTGTGCCTCCTTGTTCCTTCCTCGGCTCGAGCCCGCTCGCCAGAAATGCAACATGCTCATGCAAATTCTCTCCTCCAGTTTACTTACAATCTGTTCTCGATGGGAAGGAAGGCATGGCAGCAGTACGGCCAATCAGCAGGTGCCAAAACGAGCCTTCTGTGAGGGGAAGCGGAAAAAGGGGAGGTATAGCATATTATAACAGCGTAGGATTCAGCCGACAATTGTGAAAAAACCTCGAACGCTTAGCTTAGTCTGAATGTATACTTCGTGAACACGCACGAAAATGCGAAATCTGAAGAACTGGCGACAGTAGAAGGGCTCCATGCCCCAGGGATACACCACCCATGGGGCTCGCCTGTTTCCCGAACAAAGACAGAACCCCTCCCATCGGTTCAGCTAAAAGTTCAGTGGAGCGGTGCAAGGTCTAGTACGTCAAGTGTGCCAGACAGAAGCCAGTGCGAACTAAGCAGTGTCGCTAAAAAGCAGGAACCTTTTGCTGGAAGAGAGACAATAGCTGCTTACCGACGTCGTCTGGCTGCCCCTTGCTCATCCTGCGCCAGCAATTTCCTGAAGCGTCAAAAAGTACTCAGCGGGATTGAACAACGAACAGCACCTCCTCCGCCATAACCCTTTCCAGTTCCCCCGCTCCTTCCACTACCCCTTATATTTACTCTGTCATTCCCGTTCAAATCTGCCTACAGTCCGGGCCGAACTGAGACGAGTTTCAGCAGCCGCCACTTTTCCAACGGTTCCTTTTCGCAGGACAACTACTGAAACTCGGCTTGGCTCAGCCAGGTAATGTCGAAGGTGAGCTGCGATTACTGAGAGACCTTGACTAGAGGCAGGGACTGGAGACAGCGGTGGTGACTGAGGCCCGGGAGAGGGGAGAGGGGGGAGGGGGGAGTACTCCTATGGATTCTTTATGCTCGGCATGAAAGTTAGTGCTGAGGGGAAGTTAGTACCTTGAAACGACACCCGGAAACTTACATGATCAAAAAACCCTGTGCTACAATTCTCGCTACTCAAATTTGAACTCAGAAATGAGTGCATATTCCGAGCATGGGGCACCCCGCTTGCTATACATTCTGCCTGTATCGAACCCTACCTCCGGTCAGAGTCTTCTCAATCAGTGACCCCCATCCCCTCTTCCTACACGGCTCTCGAAACTTAAACCTACCCTCACCCCACCCCCCCCCCCCCCCCCCCCCC